ACGCCAACTTTATTATCAACGTTTTTGAGAGTAATTACTTAGCGCTTTAAAAGGTTTGTATTTTTCTTGCCTTCGTAGTATTATCATTGAGCTAATAAATAAAAACTTATAGGGTATGGTTTTTACTAGTTTTATTTAATTTCTCATGCGATATGCAAATAGAAATATGAATGATGAACTGGGACAAAACGAAAAAGCAGTTGAGGAGTTGAGAACAGATATGTAGGTAGAATATCAATAATTTTAGACTTTTTTTGGTACGAAGGGGCATAGGATATTTTAACTATCACTCACAACGCTGGCTTAATATATTCTTTGTTACGTCTTCGGCACATCTCCTTACAGTTTTTATCTTCTATGTTTTGTAGAATATATGACCAATAATTGGCCGGACTGCATGAATTAATAAGCGGGCGGCGGTTACCCGAGAGTGGGGACAAGAGGAAACAAAGGGATCGTTGAGGTCACTGGAGCAGTTTGAGGGCTTCCTGTCTCTGAGCACCGAGTAAGCGCCTGCAGGGACGCAGCCCTCTCTCCTCCCCTCTCCCCTTCGCCCCTCCTTGCCTGTTGGGGTCTGCGGCGACCCCTCCCCCGCCCCCCAGTATTAATGATGAAACCACACAATGAACACAAGACGGCTGCGCCAGCCGCCAATCGATGCCTCGCAATAGACTCTAGATGAAATTTCCCTCCCTCCCCCGAAAATCCTCCTGTCCTTTACTGCTCACGACGCCGCGTTCTTTGAAATACCTCAGAGCGAAGGGGAGGGGGAAGGAGAGGGGGGAAGGGAAGCTCCTTTGCCGCCGCCTGGCGGATTCTTTTGTGACAAGAGAGTGCCACATCACGACAGCCTGGCAGGAGGAAGGAATGAAGAAGAAAGGATGGGAGAAAGGAAGAAAAAGAGAAGGTAGGACAGAAAGAAGAAAGACGAAAGAAAGAAAGGGAGTGAATGGATAGATGGAAGAAGGGAGGGAGAAGAAAAATTAAAAAAAGAAAGGGAATGAGGATATCAATCGGCAAAATACGAGATGTTGCTAAATGAAATAAGAGCGAATATTTTCTTACCAATTCTCGTCAAAAATGCTTATTGGTTCCTGTATTCAAAATTCAACTCAACATGTATTTGAGTGTGGGCACAGTCTGAGCTGAAGAAACCGTGCGCAAATCGCACATCTCTCGTACGTTGCACACCGTTCGAATTGTTTTGACGTTAAATAAAAAATAAATCTATATATAGAACGTTACGAATATATGTGTGGAAAAGGGAGCGTTTGTGTTTTAGTAAAAATGGAGAATTGACTGCAAGTACACAATATATGTTTGTTATAAACTTGGTTAATGGAAGGACGTTTGCGTTGAAGTCATACGTCGGGTTGATAAAGTCAACTAGTGCGTTAATATATATTTTACTTTCAAGCATAAGAGGTAATGGACTTGTTACTTTTACAATATTAAACGTCCATTAATTGTTGTTGATATTATTTACAAACAAATAAATTATGTAGAAAGTGATAACATAAAAACTCAAGTTTGCTCACATTTCTGCCTTACATCCTTCTTCACATCAATCATATTCTTTGGATCAATGTCGACTAATCACCCCAAAAATATTTTAATACTTAAATAAAAGACATACAGCTCACAATCATAAAGAACGAACTTTACTTCGAGGTTATTGATGGCAAGTATTGCTAGATGGAAGGCAAAACTACATGGTTTAGATTCACTGCAAAGGGAGAGTCTTCGTAAGTCAACTTGCCAAGACTCAATAGAAGTTCTAAAAATAAAAAAGGAAACTTTTCTTATACT